TGTAAAAAAGTTGTTTTTTCTTTATCTGGAAATGGTTGGAACCAATGAGCTGAATATCACCAGCCCTACTATTATACAAGATCCATTTTTTCCATTCTATTTATAAACCTTAGAGTCCTTGGGGTTCTCTGAGCTTGGTTGTTTTCTTGCAGACGTTTCAGTACCCAACTAGGTAACATTTTCAGTGTTCATTCACAAACCTTAGTCATGCCTCCTCTCTCATAGGTATCTTATTTTTATCCTAAACAATATAACACATATTTATTCTTACACTGTAGAATAGGAAGTGACCCATCCAAACTATTCATAATTTTAAATGTTCTTTTCCACTGTTATAATACCCTCTCCTTTTTTAAACTTTACGACTAGAGTAGCCAAAAATGTAGACAGTATTCCCACAGTAATCAAACCATAAAACATGAGGTTATTGACAGAGCTGCGGTCACTTGTCTAATTATTCCTTACAGTGACTTTGCTTTTCACACCATCAATGCACAAAGTTATCTTCAGTGGATTGTTCCTCATGAGCCCAAGGAAGTCCTTTCTAGAAGAACGGCCACAAATCCAGTCCCAACAAGAATGAAGTGCATACTATCATTTGGATGATTTGCTTCAAAACGTACAAGAGCAAGACCCCAGCACCTCTTCACGGTATCTACACTTCCAGAAAATATCTCTTCTGAATCATGTTGAAACAAGGGTATCCCTAGTATCTATGGTTAGTACTGTCCTTCCCTCCATGGAGTATTATTTTTTAATTTGATGCCCCGAAATAGTTTCTAAGACAGGCTTCTCCAATCTGATGACCATCCAATATGTTGTGACAACAGTTCTCAGAATACCTAGGGAGCCTGGCCAACAGCACAGTTCGATTATTAAATTTGGATGCCACCCAAAACTTTAGCGTGCAGGTCAGTAGGTCTGCCCACAATGAATATTGCTCATTTATTCTTGCAGTCAGATGCCTGCTTGGTTTTGGTTTGTTTTATATCAGTTACTGATCCATAATAATATATCAATGATAGAATGAGTGTATGTTACTGAGCATAGTTCTTTCAGTGCCTGTGCCCGGCAAGGGAGAATAAATAATTATATTGATGTTTTCCCTTTTGATGTAATATTATATACAAGGACTAGAAATCTACCACCTTCATCTAGGGTCTGACAGTTTTATTGCCAATATTTAATTTAATCTTATTTGGATGTAAATTTATCCTACAAACATTATTTTATCTGCGGGTTTTGTTTTGTTTTTTTGGTGGAGGGATAAAACCAGAAAATAACTGCTGTTGGACTTATAAAAAGATATTGTAAAAAATTGTATACACATCAAGGATAGCTAAGGCCCTTAGCAAGATTAAAAATTTCTGTTGGGATTGTTTTCTCTTATACAAACAATAAAGCTATGTATCCATCAAATAACTCCAACAGTTAGTTTAAATCATTTTCTAATATGAAGTTCCGCCCAAAAGTTAAGTGGATCATATCACTAACCAAATAATCTGTTTAAAGAACATTCACAGATTCAATCCTTACACTGATATTTAAAAATGTTATGGGGTTTGGCATTCCTTCTGGAGAATTAACTTAGATTTTATGGCCACTTGCTCCCACTAACTCCAAAATTATTTTTCCACCATACAAAGAACAGTATGTAGCAAGTCTTTGTGTGCACACACATACACAATGCTTTCAGAGGTTTCTTTGTTTGTTTGTTTGTTATTTATGCCTTGAGGATTACAGCAAATTAGGGCTTCTGGGTGGGGAAAATGGTGACCTGAGGCATCTCCAAAGAGTGGGCATGCCGCTGAGGCAAAGATCAATGACCTGGTGGCAAATCTGGACCAGCGAAGCTTCTCTGGACAAGAAGAAGCCAAAAGATTGCCCACATGCACTCTGGAAGGCTGCTCCTTGCAAGGAAACCCGCAGAATCTAGAGGATCTGTGGTGAACTGCGAGTAGAGCATCGGGAGCCAAGGAAGAAATATCAACCTCTCTGCCTCAGGCAGAGCCTGCCTTAAGGACACTGGGCTCAACCCAAACTCCACTTTCTAGCACACATTTGGAATGAACATTTACAATGGATTAAGGGACCACTTAAATTTGGAAGATTGTTTTTTTTTAATTACAGTGGTACCTCGAGTTACGAACACCCCTCCTTACGAATTTTTCAAGATACAACCAGCTCCAGCCCCAAAAATTTACCTCTACTTGCGAACTCCACCTCAAGTTACGAACCAGATCCACGGCCATTTTCCCTGCTGCTACGCGGTCGCGGCTTCCTGTGGGCGAGAGCGCGGTAGCAAGGAGAAGTTCGGTGAGGCTTGTGGT